CGTACCCGGGCCATGGCCCGGGTCGTCTGGGGGTGCCGGGTCAACCAGCTAGCACAGGGAATAGAGAAAGATGAAGGGGGAAAAAGGGGAAATGAAGGGAAGATGAAAGAAATAAGGGGAAGATGAAGGAAAAGGAAAAGGGAAGATAAAGGGAAAGATGAAGGAAAGATGAAGGGAAAAAATAAGGGAAAAAGATAAAGGAAATAAAGGGGAAGATGAAGGAAGATAAAGGAAAGATGAAAAAAGATGAAGGGGAAAAGATAAAGGGAAAGTAAAGGAAGATGAAGGGAAGGTGAAGGAAAATGAAGGGAAGATGAAGGGAGATAAGGGAAAGTTTGAGGGAAGAAAAGGGGAAGGTGAAGGAAAGATGAAGGGAAATGAAGGGAAGATGAAGGGAAAGATGAAGGGAAGATGAAGGAAAAAAAAAAGCAAAAAAACTAATGGACATTTCTCGTCAAAAAAAAAAAACCATACCACGGGTGGGAATAAAACCCCGGGGTCAAGTCTAAAAACTCCGTGGTAGGGTTTTTTTGGAAATCGTGCATTACGATTTCTGAGTCTATTCCATCACTCGAATTCCGAGGAAAAATTCAAAATTTATTGAAAGAAAAAAATCTCGTCATAATTACAAGTAAACAGACTATTTGGGCTAATGAAATATTTACAATACCTTTTCGCTCCCCGGGAACTTTGCAAGCCGTTCAAATTCCTGGAGAGGAAACGTTTCCACAAAAAAATTCATTTTAGTTACTTTACCTTTTTAAAACCGGGGGGGTTTTTTTCTCTTAATTTTTAAATCCACTATTATTTTTGGGAAAAGGTAAGAAACCCATTATAATTTTTTTGGAAAAAAAGATTTCGTTTTCTTTTTTAATTTCAAATTTTGTACACAAACGAAATAAATTTGTGGTAACGTTTTAAGACCCTGGAGGGTCCGTGTGTTCCCGTCTGTGTACCCCCCTATTTGTGGTTGCAGGAGTCGAGTCCTGCTCCGGGCCCCGCCTCTTAAAACGGGTTGCTACGGGGTCCTCTCTTCCCGCTCCATGAGCTTTATCAAACCCGTCTTAAAACTGTGTATGGTTCCCCCCCCTACGTCACTTTCTAGGCTTTTTCCACGGCCTGACAATCTATGACGAAAAAATATTTCCCCTAACATCCCTTTGACTTTCTAGTCTTCAATTTCCCAAATTTACCGCCTGTTTTCCGTCTGTGTTCCGCTGTGTTTTTACCCTCCAAGGATGGATTTAGTGTACACGGGACCCACTGTTTTACATTAATAATTTAAGTTAATAAGGTTTGTGGGGAAAATAACAAGTTTTTTCCTGACACCGGGTCTCCGTCATAGATGAAACACAGCTGGAGTTTTTGGGTTATATGACCGGGGCCCTTCACTGGTTTTACCTGTCCCCCCCTTTTAAAAAAATTATGGTTATGATTAAACCATTTCTTTCGTATAAAGCCCCAAAAAAAAAATTTACAGTTTTATGGGAGAGGGCATACGTCCCCCGCCCACACACCCAGTTAGCCCAGGGCCCCACCCACATCACCCACCCCCCCAAAAACCCCGCTTCCACCCACCACCCGTCTCCCCCCACCAGTCTTCCCCCCCCCCCCCTCCCCATACAAGAAAACTCGACAAAATCGAAATAAAATAATGAACAAGCTAAGGAAGAGTTGAGCATAGTTTTAGGTATCGAATATTTTTTGGTTTTAAAAAGGGGGGCATGAGTTAAAAAGTAGAACTGGAACAACAACTTATCTAGAATGCTAATTAATGCTTACTTTCCCGGAGAATGTAACATTGAAGAAAGGGGAAAAAATGGGAAAAACTAACCCGAGAGGAAAAGAAACTGTTAGGTACTAAAAACCCTGGAAAAAACAGAGAGGCAGCGAAGAAAAATCACTGCATAGCTTTTCAAACCTTCCTTTGAACAAGGAAAAAATCCAACAAAAATACAAAAAAAAAAGATGAAAAGTAACAGGCTATTTTTTGTACTACATGCGGAAAAAAAAAAAAAGTCCCGAAATTTTTTGAGAAGGATAATCCGGACTTTTGGGGATGAACACGAGCAAAACCGAAGGAAAAGAAAATTTCCTGTCCTTACGACACTAAAAATTGACAAGGAAGATTTTTTTTACTTAAAAAGACCAGAATAAAAGAAATGGAAGCAAACGCAAATATACCAAAAAGAAGCAGGGGTTACCATTATGAAAAGTAAAAAAGACAGACGTGGGTTAAGAGGCGGGGGGAGATAAGTTATTTCAGTACATAGTTTCTAAAGTGGGTATATAAGGCCCAGGCCTGACATCAAATAGTCAGTTGACTGTACGATAAAAAACAACCCAAAAACTGAAATTCACTCATCCCCCGGCACAAATCACAATTGATGAAAATATTCAAACGCGACACCGGGAAAAAACAATCAGAGGACCCAAGTTTTTTTTCAGCAGTTGACATGTGTGGTGTACAGTATGACAAAACGAAGAATTGACACATGTGTAACTCTGCGTACCCTTTTTGTAGACTTTTTTGCCATCCAGTGGCTTTTTCATTAAAGCCACTGGGTGGGGAAACGTTTACAGTGAGGTACCCCGAGCTGTACATGTATCTAATTTTTCATATTGCAATTCTGACATCCTAGGAAGCAGTGACACACACCACACACACCACACACACACCACACACACACACACACACACACACCACACACACACACAACCCCCACACACACCACACACAGGGTGTGGCGGATAAATGAATGATACAATTTTCCCCGGATATACAGCCGATTCCTGCGAGGGGGTCGGTCTCTTTAATCTACCCGACTGATGTTCCCCCCACTAGTAAATATTTAAAAGGCATCATAAGTGAGATATCTCTTTACTGAGCATCTCAATTGCGACATTGTCATTGATGTCCTAGGCCTGTATACCTTAAAATGGGTCCCGTGGCCTGTCCAAGAACCCTTGTTCGTCCCCTGGCCTGTTGGACAGCTCTCGCTTCACATGGCAGGGTCTGGGTTTGATTTCCCCCGAGGGTGAAACATTAAGGGGGTTTTTTTTTTACACCGGTTGTCTATGTTCCCCCTCGTAAAAAAAGGGAACCCGGGAGTTAGCGACTGATGTGGGTGCATCCCGGACAAAATAACCTAAACTGCGGGGAAATGCTCAGATAAACAAGCAAAATTTTTTTAATAGCAGTAGTCATTGATTAGCAGGGCTGAAAACCTTGTAAAGTACTTTTTTTGAAAAAGAAAATTATTATTTATTATTTTTATTGCCTGATATTTTTAATGATAAAAAGGCGTTCGACAATATTTAAAAGGGAACGATATGGTTAAGTGTGAATTGCACTTTGTATCACCTAATTCACCTAATTGACTCACCTAATTGTGGTTGCAGGGTCGAGACTCAGTCTTGGCCCTCCTCTTCATGATCGATGGTCCCTTTTCTCTCCTCTCTTCTCCTCTCTCTTTCTCTCTCTCTCCCCCTCCTCTCTCTCTCTCTGCTTCCTGAGCTTTGTCATACCTCGTCTTAAAGCTATGTATGGTTCCTGCCCCCACTACATCACTTACTAGGCTATTCCACTTCCTGACGACTCTGTGACTGAAGAAGTACTTCCTAACATCCCTGTGACTCGTCTGAGTCTTCAGCTTCCAATTGTGACCCCTTGTTTCTGTGTTCCCTCTCTGGAACATCCTGTCTCTGTCCACCTTGTCTATTCCACGCATTATTTTGTATGTTATTATCATGTCTCCCCTAACCCTCCTGTCCTGTATAGAATTAAACATGTACAAGCAGAGATGAAGGCTCACTTCTCCATCCGCTAGTCACCAAACAGACGAGCTACTGCACACTTAACTCTACAGGAATAGGAAAAGACGGAATACTATTATTACTAGTATTGGATGACGCTAGTGCGCAACCAAAATAATCTCACTTCACTAGGGCTATACTAGTAGCTAAAGGTCTCTTGCGAAAAAAGTTATTGACTGTATTCTGATTTTCAGTGTATCAACAGTTTTCAAAAGTCAGCGAGACTACAGTACGAGTTTCTTCATATTCTCAGGAGCGGATTTACTATGAAACTGATGAAGTAAGAAGCTTCAGGGCCCCTGATCCCGGAGGGGCCCCAGAAGCGACTTTAATCCACATTGCTTAAAAAATTTGGGTCCACTGTACAAAGTATTTAAAAATATAGCGTAATTCAATACAAAATAGTTAAAATAAAAATTAAAATGTTATTGTAGTATAATGTAGGGCAGCCGTTGCTAGTTACCAAGGTGACCCATGACAGTTCAAGCTTCAGGGACCCAAAAATGTAGTTCCGCTACTGCATACTCTACAACATATTCATGAAAGGTAGGGTTTAGATTCAATTCAAGGAAGAGAAGAAGAGATTCAGATCCTTTGATCAAGAGCCCCTTCACCGAGGGAAAGGAACCCCCATCCCCTGGAAGGGGAAGAAGTCCCCTTAACAATGCTAGCTAGGCTGTCCGGGTGGCTGATACTGTTAATCAATTGCTGACCGGCAGTAACCAATATTTAATGTTACAGTTTAAGGCATCATTCTCAATGTAGCTAACGCTGAACTTGGTTCTTAACATTGCTTTATATAAAATATTTAGTCCGGAGCACAACTTAGCACTTCTTTATCGAATATCGCAGTTGACTAACAAACTTCAGCAAAGTGGTAGCCTCTTAAGTATTTTGTACATAAAATTGATTTATCAGTTGAGGACAACGTATATAGAGAAAATGCTTATATTCACTTCCAAACTGACCTCCCCAGAGATACATGATCCAACTTAGCATTAAAAAAAGGACTTTCACTATGCCTAGTAGGACTTTTTTTTTTTTCTAGTGCAAAAACTTGCCTTCGTTGGTAACTCTTCCTCAAGTTCGTATCAAGACGGTAACTTCACATGGAAAAATCCACGAGAAGCTTGCCGTATGGCGCTCTCCGTCTTATCAATTTCATGTATTTTATCATCAACCGCAGCGTGCTGAGATCAGTTCAGTTGCTGTGTGCTTGTAACTCCCTCCACAGCACTTCAGTGATCGTGTGCTCCTAGCCCTGACCACGGCCCTTATATGGTAGTATGCTCACAGCCCTGACCACAACAATTCAGTGATATCTTGCTCAAAGCCTCAGCCCAGCACTTCAGCGATAGTGTGCTTGTAGCCCTCACCACAACACTTCAGTGACAAGCGTGCTTGTAGCCCTCACCACAACACTTCAGTGACAAGCGTGCTTGTAGCCCTCACCACAACACCAGTGACAAGCGTGCTTGTAGCCCTCACCACAACACTTCAGTGACAAGCGTGCTTGCAGCCCCCACCACAATAACCACTACGGATCAAGATGGTGATATTACCAATCCACATCTTTATTTTGTACCTCGTCATGAGTGCAGTTCTGCATGTGAGGAGCACTTTTTTGGGTATTACATACGAGTCAAGATGCCCCAACTCTGACGATATTTTTCCATGTAAGTGTCTGCCGGAAGACGATACCATTGACTGCTCAGAGGTCGGAGTGAGGAAGAGCTGGCACAAGCGTTCAGTGCAAATTTCCCCAATCTCAACTTCAACATGCTGACTATAGTGAACAACACCAACCTGACGGTGCTAAGAGACGGTACCTTTGGCAATGCTACGTTCCAGGTGGTGCATATAAGGAACGGCGTCCTAGAGGAAATCGAACCCAATGCTTTATCTGCCAGTTTCTCTACGGCCCATGAGCTAATGTTCACCGATAACAACATAACAAAGTTTCCATTTCAAATTCTGCCGATGTTCACCAGGCTCTCTGTTATGAACCTCAACGGGAACAACCTGCAGGAGTTCCCCAAGATAGAATCGAAGACACTGCAGTGGATAGAGCTAGGTTTCAACCCTCTCGGTCACATGCCTAACAACTCGTTTCTCAAGACACCCTCGCTCGTCCTCCTTCACCTCCGTGGAGCACAACTTGAAGAGATAATCCCAGGTAGGAATTAGTCATAATATTGTGGCTGGGACAATCCACAACTGACCCACACTTTGAAAATGAAGCTTCAGATGACGTTTCTGTCTGTCTTGAATCATTATTTCAAGTGACTTTATGATTCATTTGTACTACTGATAAGTGTTTATTGCACTTATGTTTTGAATATATCGTCTATTTTTAGGTAGAGTCGATCAAACAACTCAGTCTGCATTATAACAAATTTAAAAAAAAAAAATGCACCATAAGTAACTTAGGAACTTGGCACAAGCGTGCCAGAATTCTCGTAATACATTTGATCCTATTTCTGTGCAATCTACCATAGGTCAGCGAAAATTTATTAAGCGTTATTTACCGTGAATGAAATACGTTAATTTTCAGATATTTATGCTAATTTTTTAAGAAATCACTATACAAAGCGTACAAAACGACTGTTGTCTCATAAGCCAAGATTGCAAACTGTCGAAAAAGCACAACTATATGTCTAACAGACATATGTTAGACATGTATATCGATATAGACATTGTCTATACAGATATACATCTGCATACTATACTGTATATTTAAAACAAAAGCGTTTAAGATTATTCGGCTTGTTTTTCTGACTTTATGAAAGAAAACGTGAGCATATGTCTGCCGGGATGCCTCCTGCTGGTGATTGGCTCTTGACCCAAGAAACTGGGGTTAACCTCCCCTGCATCGGGTTAAACTTATTTACCTCCCATTCTCCAAGCACCTTGACAGGCTGTGATAACTCTGTATGCCTTTAGGAAGCAGGTACCAACAGCCTGGTTGATTACATTTAACAGAGAAGCCTAGCCCCAGTCTGGGCTAGGACACGGGTATATCCAGTAAGAAGTGAATGGTAACGAGACAGCGAAATTTCTGTTACCTTATACATTAATCAGAAGAAAATTACAATAAAATGGCTGTAACAGGTCACAATACCGTGGCTGCAACAAGTTACAACACCGTGGTTGCAACAAGTCACAGTACCGTAGCTACAACAAATCACAATACCGTGGCTGCATCAAGTCACATACTGTGGTTGCAGTAAGTCACAACGACCCCACACGTTGCATAACGGAAATGAGTCGACGTGTCTGTCCATCCTGGACGATTATCGTCGTGACTTGATGGTCCAGAGCAAACCAAAATGATTGATTAATGGTGTTTAAAGTCAATCGACTACACACAGATCATTGAGGCTGCGTGTATCCTATTCAACACCAGTCAAAAATACCTTAATTCATTAAATTGGAATTAAAATTAAAATAAATTCTCAGCGTATATACACATGACATATATACCTCAGTGTGTATGTCTCAGTGTGAACTGGCTGTATATTGTATTTTGAGCATGTAAGCAACACCAAAGTAATTGATTACTTTGACTTATTATTATTAATATGGAAAAGCACAAAACCTGTATGGACTATGAAGCATCCGGGGATTGAAAAACAATTAGATTTGATACGAGGTAGGTTCTGGTTTCTTGGATACAGAACATTTCCCCACCATTTCCCAGGTATCCCGTTCCGCTCACACACTGTGGTCAGGGGGTCGATCTACGGTACGGCTGGAAACTTTAGGAAACGTTTCCTTAAGATACCTGCTGTCCATGTTTACCCATCAGTAAAATGGGTACCTGGGTGTTAACCGGCTGGTGTGGGTCGCATCCTTGGACAAAAATTGACCTAATTTGCCCGAAATGTTCAGCATAACAAGGGACTTTGTATATAGTAGTACGTTAGGTAGGCTTGTATACCTTTTACATGTACTTGTAGAAATAAAGCTTATTAGCATCATCAAGGATTATCAGACGAGGCTCCGGGTTCTCAGTAGGTCAGCATTATATGCTTCTAGACATGGCATTTGCATAAATTTATCGCTGATACTTTATCATCATTTTTGTGTCGTTGTACAAATAAATATTTTGTATTAATAATTATTAAGTTTATTTTTTATTAGCATTTTAAGAGTTAGGAACCTTGTCTTATATAATTAGGTACCTCTTGCACAGGAAACTTGGTTCATGGAGTGTTGCGAGTACCTCCTTCCCAATAAGAACCACGACTCCTGGGATATCCTAAACTACTTCCTCCCCCAACAGGAACCTTGACCCATGGATTGTCATTGACTACTTGCTCCTCCTCCTCCACAGGAACTCTGGCCAACCTGCCTCACCTTGAGTATGTGACGCTCGCCAACAACTACCTCACCAGACTACCTGAAGATACAGTCGTTTTCACGGACTCTCACGCCTTGCTCAACTTTGCCTACAATAACATCAGCACCGTCTCCGTCGGCGCCTTCCGAGGTAGCATCTCCCTTCTAACACATCTGAAGTATTATTATTAATTGTGGCTAAATACATCTTTTTTTTTAGAGAGATTTGTGTAACTTATCCTAAATTAAACCTTATCCATTTTAACCTAATCTAACCGAACTTAATATAAAGATAAGATCATAAGAATTTGTAAGTTTACAGGGAAAGGAAACAAATTGTTGCTCGGAAATATGTAAAAAAACAATGTAGAAATAATGAGAACAGATTGCACGGGTGCTGATATAAGTGAGGTTGGTGTTTTAGGTATGACTTCAGGCACCGTGTATGTGAGCTACAACCAGCTGGAGACCCTGGACGAGGAGGTGTGGAGGCCACTACTAGAATTGGAGATCTTCGTCGAGGCTTCAGGTGAGCATTTTCGTTTTTTATTTTGCCTCCAAAGCGGCAAGTTTATTGTCCACCCCAAATCCAACCTCGGGATGGTAGCGCTCTGGAAGCGTATAGGTATACATATACATAAGGCCCAAGCAATACCACCCTAACTCCTGTAAATCCTTTTGGGTGGTAGTGCTTGGGCCTTATGTGTATGTATACCTATATTATTAATACATGCATATACATGTATTAATATAGGCCTTTCCTTTTGCTGTATGCGTGTTTTTAGTTTATCTAAGACCATATAAAGCCTCATTTGGGTGAAAAGTCGTATTAATATAGGTCTTGCCTTTTGCTGTATGCGCATTTTTACCAACTGCCGGCTATGCCATACTTACCTAACAACCTGTCGGTATTTTATACCATACTTAAAGTATGTTTGCCTCAAGTAATTCCATGTTGTCGTTCCTCCAGGTAACCCGCTCATCTGTGGCTGTGACGTGGCCTGGTTAGCTCGTAACGTCAACTTCCTCTTCCTGTTCAGCTACAACACAATGTGTATCGATGGAACGTATCTGCGAGACCTGGACCCAGCATCCTTCGAACAGTGCTAATATTAAAGCTCGTATATGAAGAGTTAAAGAGTTCATTATGCGTGCAGATGATCTACTGAGTCACGAGAACATCAGAAATATCCTTATAGCACTTGTTTTGAGATCTTAGTAAAGGTTGATGTCAGCCAACAAATCGTATAGTGAAAACTAAGGTCTTCTGACGGCCCAGGAATTCTTGATTCCTCACTTTATTCTTTAAGATAAGCTATTTTTGTATGACCCGTAAGGGTCATAACACAGCGCTTGGGAAATATGAGATGATCAGGTTTGATCCGAGGAGAGTATCCCCAACTCTGCATCAAGCTCTCTTTATCCTTGCAGGACTAAGAATTAGTTTGAAGCGTTTTATACTATTTCTGAGGATTCTGAAGTCTTCCTTAATGCTCTGGAGAGACTTGCTAGGCTCGTCGACCGGCACTGCTAGGCTCGTCGACGGTATTGCTAGGCTCGCCGACCAGTACTGTTAGGCTCGTCAACCAGTATTGCTAGGCTCGTCGACCAGTACTGCTAGGCTCGTCGACCAGTATTGCTAGGCTCGTGGACAGGTACCAGCTCTCCAGTTGATCTGCGAGGGACAATGTGTAGACTCTAGAGATCACCTGTGAGGCTGAGGGGCTTTTAAAATCTAAAAGGTTGAATCTGACTTCCCTTTGCTTTCCATACGGGTTTAGCGCGCTCTCCTACAGTAACAAAAATTATACTGAATTAACGTACCTTCATTTTATTGTTCGTTATTATATATATATATATATAATATATATATATATATATATATATATATAATATATATATATATATATATAATATTATTATATATATATATATATTATATATATATATATATATTATATGTCGTGCCGAATAGGCAGAACTTGCGATCTTGGCTTAAATAGCAACGATCATCTTGCCATATAGGACAAGTGAAAATTTGTGTATGCAATAATTTCGCCAAAATCATTCTGAACCTAACGAAAAAAATATATTTCACTTTGTTTGTTTAGTATTAAATTATTGTAAACAAATCTAAAATATATTTAGTTGTGTCAGGCTAAAATAAATTGCGCTTGTTATAATAAGGTTAGGTAAGTTTTCTAAGTTCCTTTCGGTGCAATATTATAAATTTTTACATCAACGTTAATGAAAAAAATATATCTTTAAACGTATAAAAGAAAATTTTAGAAAGGACTTTATTTTAAATGAGTTCTTGCTAATTGACCGGTTTTACATATTCGGCACGACATATATATATAAACTTTTTCCAAACAAGTCGAGCGAAAAATTCACGGTGGCAATAAGTAATAACCTCATTAAAATCAGTCTGAACATCGTGAAATTAATAGGCTTCAGTGATGTTAAATAATGCAAACTAAATTTAAGGTGACCTGGGATAGGTTGCGAAGGATAAGGCTTATTAATAGCACCTTATTTTAAGCAAGATTAGGTTAGGTTAAGTTAGTTGTGGGGAGAAAATATATAGTATACGCATATCGTCACATATACACTATGCAAAATATCTGTATGTTGATGACCAACTGTTGTTGCACCAACTTTTACAAAGAGTTCCCGACACCACCGAGCTGGTGTTGTATACAATGAAAATACAACAAATTTATGTTAAAACCACTCTAACTGTACATTTATGAACTAGATTATCATTAGGTATTCCCTCGCTACTGGGGATACTCGTATATTATTGTTATAGGCTAATAAGCATTAATAAATATTCTAAGGAGGCTTACAATAAATGTATCTATAATATATAACAGCGAGCAGTTTCCTTATCCTAAGTACTGTGAAAAGTGAAGAGTAGAAGACAACATTGCTGGTTTATTAAAGGGTAGAAGACAACATGGTGTCTCGAATGGTAGTTGACAACATGGTTAGTACACTGAAGGGTAAGATAACAGTTAGTGTACTGAAGGGTAGAAGACAACAGTGTTAGTGTAGTGAAGGGTAGAAGACAACAGTGTTAGTGTACTGAAGGGTAGAAGACAAGTGTTAGTGTACTGAAGGGTAGAAGACAACAGTGTTAGTGTACTGAAGGGTAGAAGACAACAGTGTTAGTGTACTGAAGGGTAACATGGTTAGTGTATTGAAGGGTAGAAGACAACAGTGTTAGTGTACTGAAGGGTAGAAGACAACAGTGTTAGTGTAGTGAAGGGTAACAACATGTTTAGTGTATTGAAGGGTAGAAGACAACAGTGTTAGTGCACTGAAGGGTAGAAGACAACAGTGTTAGTGTACTGAAGGGTAGAAGACAACAGTGTTAGTGTACTGAAGGGTAGAAGACAACAGTGTTAGTGTACTGAAGGGTAGAAGACAACAGTGTTAGTGTACTGAAGGGTAGAAGACAACAGTGTTAGTGTAGTGAAGGGTAACAACATGGGTAGTGTATTGAAGGGTAGAAGACAACAGTGTTAGTGTACTGAAGGGTAGAAGACAACAGTGTTAGTGTACTGAAGGGTAGAAGACAAGTGTTAGTGTAGTGAAGGGTAACAACATGGGTAGTGTATTGAAGGGTAGAAGACAACAGTGCCAGTGTACTGAAGGGTAGAAGACAACAGTGTTAGTGTACTGAAGGGTAAAAGACAACAGTGTTAGTGTACTGAAGGGTAGAAGACAACAGTGTTTAGTGAAGGACACGAAACAACATGGTTGCTTAATAGGTTAAAAAAAACAAAAAAAACTATAGAGGGGAGAGGACCAGGCCTCCTGGTTGGTACTTCTGATCGGTCCAGTGTATGAACGAAAACCCAGCTGACCAGGAACTTGTACGAGAAATTTGTCGAGTCAGTAATCCCACTCACGAATAAAGGGAGTGTGTTCAAGTCGCGGTCGCTGTACACATTAAATTCTCAGTATACTTATCACTCCCCTGTTATTTTTTCTATCCAGAGACTTTTGATCACTTCAAGTATTTGAAGTGATTAAGGTCTCAGGACCGAAACGTCTTCAATAAAGGTGGCCTATGTGAATACATAGGTATTTACTGGTATTTATCACCTAATTACATCTAAACGCCTATCGACTACACGAGGGTAATTGTTGCTATCACCTGTACATTACAAGTCAAGAATATACTTATTCCTGAAAACAGGGAATAAAGATATCTTTCAGCAGTAGTTAATGATATTCTAATGAGTATGTAATCAATATTTTGGTAATGACTGTTAGAAGCTGTCCCCATGTATATAAGAACTATAATAGTTATCAAATTTTGTTAAGAAAATATGAAAATGTAAATGCTGAGGAAGGGTTGTTGAGATGGTTCGGACATGTAGAGAAAATGGAGAGAAACAGAGTGACTTCAAGAGTGTATCAGTCTGTAGTGGAAGGAAGGCGGGGTAGGGGTCGGCCTAGGAAAGGTTGGAGGGAGGGGGTAAAGGAGGTTTTGTGTGCGAGGGGCTTGGACTTCCAGCAGGCATGCGTGAGCGTGTTTGATAGGAGTGAATGGAGACAAATGGTTTTTAATACTTGACGTGCTGTTGGAGTGTGAGCAAAGTAACATTTATGAAGGGATTCAGGGAAACCGGCAGGCCGGACTTGAGTCCTGGAGATGGGAAGTACAGTGCCTGCACTCTGAAGGAGGGGTGTTAATGTTGCAGTTTAAAAACTGTAGTGTAAAGCACCCTTCTGGCAAGACAGTGATGGAGTGAATGATGGTGAAAGTTTTTCTTTTTCGGGCCACCCTGCCTTGGTGGGAATCGGCCAGAGTGTTAATAATAAAAAAAAATTGTTTTATAAGCTGCGCCAGATCTGCAGCAAAATATATAAATGTCGGGGAATGAATGGAGTAAACGAGTGATATTACTATACTACGATTATAATTATATTCTTAATTTTTAAAGTGGGTGGACGAGTAAGCCAACGAAAGTCCTCGGTCAGATAACCAAAAGCTCTAGCTGAGGGTCATCATATAACTAAGACAAGCGCCAGGAAACACTTGTCCTGTTTCCTTGAGAGATGGAAAATAAAAACTTCTAGCCCGTAATTTCAACTGTTAAAAAAAAAATCTTGGGCAAGACGTAGTCCCCAAAAACGAAATAGACACTAACAAACGAGTTATATATTTTTTATCTTTCACTTGTATATTTACTGATCTGATAGAAAGATTTCATCCCATATGATGGTAGAGGAAGAATAAGTAGAGGAAGTATAAGTGGCTTTGGCATGCTGCTCTTATCTGTATTTTTTTGTACCTCGTATGTATGCTCAAATTGTAAATAAATAAATAAATAAATAAATAATGGTGCAGGTTGTGTAGTGCTGGGACAAGTTCCCCATGATTTGTATTTTCTTTGGATTTGTCTTTTAGGAAAATTCAATCATGATCAATTCCAATTTTAAGGGATAACGTCGCTAAACTGGATTTCAATATTCAACATTATATCAGTGAATAAATTTTCACTTATAAAGCAAGGTGTGATTATGTGACTGATATATATATTCTGGAGTCTAGAAAATTGTAGAATAGGCTTTAAGGCCATCGGCATCCATAACATTTCTGTATAATTTTAGCATTTGTTTACAACTTAGAGATTTTTATTAATATATCCTGATAAGAGGTTAAATCATCACAACAGGATAAATACCCAGATTGTATATTTATATCAGCGTATAAATGCTGGGAGTTAACTTTAATCACTATTTTATTCTTGTCTGACAGTGAAAATGTTACGGCGCAGCCATAATGGGCAGGCTTCAAACACCTTTTATTGTACAGCAATAAAGGAATGGAACAGACTGCCTGCACATGTCAAAGCCAGTCATAGCATGAACCAGTTCAAGAAAAGTGCCAAAAGGTGTCTGATGAATGTAGCTACAGAAAGGAAGGGGAATGTTTATTTTTTTAGCTAACACACGTGTAGTACCTTATTCCTAGTAATGACCCTCGTGTAGTAGATAGTCTTAATAGTATGAAAATAAGATGTCATCTCCACTATAGAATAAAAATAAGATATTATAACCTTTATTTTATAATAATAAGGTAAAAGGACCCCAATGGAAATAAGTCACTGATTTTTTTGGGTTATCCCAGGTACTTTACACAGATTCTGCTATGTATGATAATCTATGTAACTGTATTTGTGTATACCTGAATAAACTTACTTATTATTAGTTGATAGGCTTTAAACACCATTAATAATAATAAATCTAGTATGTGTACATGGTATACTGACCTAGATGACCAGTGACATACTACTTTATAGAAAGCCCATTGTTATGTAGAGTATTTTGGGCAAATTAGGTCAATTTTGTCCCTAGGATGTGATTCATACCAGTCGACTGTGTTAACACACTCGGTACTTATTTTGCTGATAGGTGAACCAAGACTCACTTCCTAAGGTTCGCACCCTCTTTTGACAACCTAACCCTCAACGCATATGACTCACTCCTCAGATCAGTCTTTAAGGCACTGAATCTGTCACTGGAAGATCAGCAATGGGGATCAGGCAACCCTCAAAGTGCGACTGGGAGGCATAGGGGTGCGCAAGGCAACGCAGGTAGCTTTACCTGCATTTCTGTCCTCGTGTATGGCTTCCAGTGGACTAGTCAAGGAGATTGAAGACCCCAGGTTCATTGAAGCAGCCGTGCGGTGGGACATCCTTGCAGACTCCTCCAGTAGACCAGCTCCTCCCAAAGAGCACAGTCCCACCGGGACAAACTGATCATGGAAAAAATCGCCAACACAATGCTCACCAGTGCTTCCGGAAAGGACAAAGCTCCTC